TCTTCCTGCCCTCCGTCCACAAACAACTGTGTTTCTGCCTCGGTTGCACTTTCCAGCCTCGTGACTGCGCGCTCCGCGCCGAGCGCGCGCCCGGCGCTTCCTCCTCCTCCTGCGTGGCCGCGCTATCAGCGCCTCTGTCCGGTCACATGACTGACGGCTCACCGGGAGCGAGGAGAGCGGGCGGAGAGCTTCTGCAGGACGGTCTGTTCTTCACTGCGTGCCCGTACCTGGACCCGGAGGTAGGACCGGTTCCCCGGGGCTTGACTAATGACGGCAGAGAGGCTGTTGTCTCCTTTTAGAGATGATGAGATAATAGTGTCATCACACACGTTGTTGCTTGTCGGTGCTTTACTAGAAAGTGTTGGTGCGTTAATTAATGTTACAAATATGTTTCCACTGTGAAATGTTGACACTTGAAGGCCTCAGAGTTGTGGTACCTTGTTGTGTCTTTGTGGTACCACTGTCCTTTGGTTCCTCACCCAGAACCCAGAACCATCACCAAACTGCCTTAAAACATAAACTCTCTCTAGTGACCAGCAGGGGGCGACTCCTCTGCTCCCATAGACGTCTATGAGGAAATGACTCTACTTCTCTGTAGTGACCAGCAGGGGGCGACTCCTCTGCTCCCATAGACGTCTATGAGGAAATGACTCTGTTCCCTCAGTGAACATTGGAATAATGACTTTATGGTCTCAGTGTTCTCCAATACAGCATGATGTTCATTTAGAGCCAAACAGACCATAAATAGGCCGCGCACCCCCTGTTGAAGACCTCTATTTTAAAACAAATACGTTAAAACATCTGAAGCTTATCCACAGACCTTTATTTCAGACACTTGACCAGAAAACGTTTTTTACAAAGTTGCCTTCAACCTTGTTGTGAGAATGCTGCATTATGGGACGGCTGAAATAATGCGTAGAGCCACCACACCAAGCAAAGACTTGTCACACTATCCCGCTAATCCTGAGAAGTCAACTCTTTTTTAAGGTTTAACTAACAGACGGGTCTCATTGCAAGCTACACTTTCCAACCTGAGTTAGTAAAAGTAAAGGAACTCATTCTATAAAGCAGACACCAATTCTATAACATTTTACGCTTCCGCCTGCAGCTTCATCGTTCAATCTTTTCCCTCATGATATTAAAGATGAATTATGATTTATACAGTTTATACTTTAAACTTGGCAGACCAGCATCACTCCATTACCTCCCCTAACCCTTAGAACCTCAACCTTAAACCTTCAATCCTCATCCCCGAGGGACCTGAATGACGTCTGTGAGGGCTTGAGGTGCAAATATGAATAAAACAACAATTATGATTCACAATTTGTATTTCTTTGATACTTTTTACTCCCTGAGACGTTCAGTCTTCCACCCTCGTTCCTCATGAGGAAATGACACATTTTAATATTTGATGAATAATCGAGTAAATATTGTCCAATTTCAAGTGTTTTTTTTAATCTTTAATGTTTCCGTGTACATTTTATTAGGTTTACCTTTTTTACGTCTAGTTTTCACTGGTTATCCCGTTTTAAAAAATATATTTATTTCTTTTTTCGTTATCCCGTTTTTAACGTCACATTGCAATGACTTGTGGGTTATTGGCCAAGTCAGCATTGAATGGCGACTCTTGGAAAGGGTCAAAAGGCTCCAAATGTCTGCCTGAGACCCCCAACACTCAACACTTTGACTAAATTGATTAGATGCAACCAATCCATGACAGAGTTAGAGGAAGCCTCAAAGTCCAATATGGATTATCAATGATTTAGTGTGTGACCTTTTTATCTCCGTGTAGTGATCCGATCTGAACTCTGACCCCACCAGGAGGAGGACGAGTGTTGTAATTGAGTCTAAACGAAACAAGGTCATGCTAAGTCATGCATTGTGATTTACATGTATGAAGGGAACCATGTCTGTGGTCAAGCTGGAGGAGTGGCGGCAGCGGATTGTTAAGGAGCTGGACGACACAGTAGCCTTCTGGCTCAAGTACTCTCACGACACAACACACGGGTACTGAACCCAGAAGTTACAACTCATGAGTCGTACAGATGTGTGTTTCCCTGCGATGAACTCACCCTGTGCTCGTGTTCCAGAGGCTTCTTCACTTGTCTCGGGAGGGATGGGACGGTGTACGACGAGCTGAAGTATGTCTGGCTGCAGGGCAGACAGGTGATGGAGGACCTCCACTGTGGGAAGTGTGCTCATCACATGTTGCTGACGCAGACTCTGGCTTGTCTCCTTCACAGGTGTGGATGTATTGCCGCCTGTATCGAACCATGGAGCGCTTCCGCAGGCCTGAAATCCTGGAAGCAGCTAAAGCCGGTGTGTGTGTGTGTGTTTGTGTGTGTGTGTGTTTTCTGTTTACTCTTAACTGGTATTAATTGTTATTCGGGCCTGAGCAGACTGAAAGTTAGGCTAAGCCTTATTGTGTTTCAATGATTTATTCTTCTTCTTCCTTCACCACTTCAATCACACTTTTGAGGCCTCTATCATATTCAAAAACTCTTGAATTTTGCCATGTGCATCAGAAGTGCAAAAAAGTATTTTATTTTTGGGGTTGCGTAATGTTTAGCCTCATCACTGCAATTGAACCAATGAACCAAAAGTCTGGACGTTGTCAGCACATTTGTTTGGCGTGACGTCGGAGTTTTCCACTTCCATGGGTTTGCAACAGATGGTGTTCTTCTGTAGACCTACGCGATCCATGACAGTGTTTGCTGTGCACCAATCATCATTATGGGACACGTTGTTGCGGTTGGTAGGAAACCGCTGAGCTGCAGAAAACCTCATCTTGATGCAAACTAAGAGAAACACGCATTGTAAGACTGACTGTAGGGGAGAGACTGTTTTTCTGTACATAAAGGCTTAGACAGTACAGATAGGCCTCAGTAAAAACCCTACACACTATCAGAAACCGAACTAACGGATGAATGTGTGGGGAAGCCCTGATACGTATTGGATATTGTTGTCTTTGCTTCTTAGGAGGAGCTTTCCTGAGAAGGTTCGCTCGTGTCTCCAGCGGCCAGTGGAAATGTGCCTTCTGCTTAACAAGAGATGGTAAAGCAGTGAAGATTCAGAGGACTGTATTCAGTGAGTGTTTCTACCTCCTGGCCATGGATGAACTGAGCCGGGTCACCGCTGATGAAGGCATGCAGGTACGAAGCGACTATCACAACTAGAGTCTACCTGGTACATACTGTCAGAAACTCCTGGTTTACGACAATGTGCCACATGTATCGTGAGTCCACATAGGAGACACATGTATCGTGAGTCCACATAGGAGCCACATGTATCGTGAGTCCACATAGGAGCCACATGTATCGTGAGTCCACATAGGAGCCACATGTATCGTGAGTCCACATAGGTGCCACATGTATCGTGAGTCCACATAGGTGCCACATGTATCGTGAGTCCACATAGGTGCCACATGTATCGTGAGTCCACATAGGTGCCACATGTATTGTGTTCGCACTACGCCCACTTTTCTGGTCATGGTTCCCCAAAACAATGGTCCCTAATCTATTTGAACTACATTGTGTAAGACCACAGAAGACTCCCCATAGGGATGTTACTGCTAATATCACAGCCAGAACATTTGAAATCCAGTACTCGTTGCTAGATATCATGGGAATTAAAACATACTGTTACGTATGCGAATGCTTTTTACTTTGTACAGTGCAATGTACAGTTTGGATTTTCACAATATAACACAATTGAGCCGTCAACATAATCATTTTTGCTGTAATAATAAAAAATGCATTTCAGTGACTCAACACACAAGGTGGATGTGCCGGAGCACGCTTGATCCTTCCACACCCACCTTACATTCCCACATCATGACACCACCCCTCTGATACGCTGGCTCTTCTCCGTCACTAGCTCGAGGCGGAGCAGATGATGGAGCAGTTGATCCACTGGGTTCGGGTGGACTCGTCAGGCCTGGGCCGCCCACAGCTTCCCGGAGACTTTCCCACCAACAGCATGGCGGTGCCCATGATGCTGCTGTGTCTGGTGCATCAGCTGAGCGAAGGCCGAGGTCAGGAGGTGGCTCACAAGTACAGCGAGCTGACCGGCTGGTGTGTACAGCAGATTCTACAACATGTCCAGGTGTGAGGCTTTGTGATTAATGTGACTCTGTTAGCTGCTGAGATTATTCAGGCCTCAACGCTGACTTTGACATGTAGGTATCAGCTTTTGGCCACCAAATCCGCACATGTGGTTATTATGGGGAACGTTTGAAACAATGTGCATGTTGGATACTCCCCTTAATATGCTCTTTTAAATAACACTTTTTCTTCTCCTGTATCTTGGTCCAGAGAGACGGCACCGCTGTTCTAGAGAACGTGTCCCTGCAGGGCGGCGAGCTGCCAGGCTGCCTGGGCCGGCTGCAGAACCCAGGTAAACACTGCAGCACATGTAGTGTATGGACGGGCTCAGCTCTGACCCTGTCCTTAGTTGCTGACTTTGACGTTGTCCTCCGCATGTCGTCGCGTGGCTCAGGTCATGCCCTGGAAGCAGGCTGGTTCCTGCTTCAGCTCAGCGCACAGCAGCAGGACAGCGAGCTCCAGAGGACCGCCATCAACAAGTTTGTGGAGCTGCCGTTTCAGTCCGGCTGGGACAACGGACACGGCGGCCTCTTCTACTTCCTGGATGTGGATGGTCACTGCCCCACACAGGTGAAGCAGTCATCCGGTCCCATGACGGTGTTTCACAGCGGTAGATGATGTCCTGAGCTTTACAAAAGGGCAGTGACTGAGCTTGTGTGTCTGGCCAGTTGGAGTGGAATATGAAGCTGTGGTGGCCCCACTGTGAGGCTCTCATCGCCTTCCTGATGGCCTACAGTCAAACCAAGAAGCCAGAGCTGCTGCAGAGATTCTCCCAAGTTTACGAATACACCTTCAATCATGTGAGTCGTTTGTGCCGTCGTGTTTCAGCACTTATGTTAGAATGTGGTTCCAACATTTTGTCAGGTAAGTATTGTTCCCGTGTAGCCTCGTGTATGTGAGCATAAAGGCTGGATCCTGTCTGTGGTTCTAGAGGGAGCTAGGTCTTGGTCCTCACATCTCATGAGACGGATGTCCTGCTTTGTTCATTGCTGCTCCCAGAGCGGCGATGGGCTCATTACTGAGAATAGTTTTTATATTACCTTACTTTACTTATTGACTGGTATTTTCTGTGGCTGAGCTGCCAAATCAGACCACAAATTGTCTGGATGTTGTATTTTTTGCGCTTGAAAGCAATTTGTAGCTCACACGAAGTTGACAAAGAAGCCACTGCTCCTCTGAGCATCTTACCCTCAATTTCCACCAACTCCGGCACGGCGGCGGAGTCAAAAGGTACACCGTGCTCACGGCGGATCATATTTCCCTACACTACACCTTGAAAACGTCATAATGGGCGGAAACAGGCCTGTTGAAGTTTTTTAAAGTTTATAGAAACTTCATATCGCGCGATCAGACCAGAATTAGTGGGATCACACGGGGCCTCGTGACGTCAGCTGTCAATCATGGCCGCAGCCGTTCAGCAACAAATCCGGACCAGGTGGGTATTGACGGACGACGGAACACGGAGCTGAGCCGTTGGTGGAAGTCGGGGGTTAGGCCTCCCATGCTGCTCTCATTGACTCTCTCAGCTCCGTCGACCCGGTTTGCTGCAAGCTGTCGCCCTGTTGAGAACCAACGAGAGCCTCGCCCTCTTAATTCAGCCCCCTTTCATGACTTTAGTGTGAATACTGTTTTGGTAAATGAACTGTACTGTACTGTATTTCTCTTCTAGTTTTCTGAGCACTCAAAGCTCTTCAACACTTGTCACATGAACACGTCATCATTCACCCGTTCAGATGCTGGTGACAGGAGCTACCACACAGACCGCTGGCCATCAGTAACTAGCATTCACACACATGAGCAATGTGAAGAACACATCGCTAGTGGAGGCAAGCGATGAAGGACGGCCCCGCTCTGCACGCAGTAATCCCTCACACCACCTGTTCCTGGGGAAAGTGATACCATTACAGCACCGCATTTCCACATTGGCCCAGAAGAGAAAAGCCGGCTAGGAAGCAGTGCGTAAGGAAGGAAAGAGGACCAGGCTTATTGTGTTGCATTCAAAACATTGCTCAATTTACATAATCATGTTGTAACCAACTAACGACAGATGAAAAATACACAGCAAATTCAATTCTTTTTCCATATATTTCCCGTTTACAGTACAGTACCTCAGAGCAGAGCTGCTGTTATTACTCATCCTGGTGCTGATTCCACAGCAGCACCTACTGGCTGATAGTGTGTTACTGGGGAGTAAAGTCTGCCAATGATTAACCAAGCGGTTCAATCCACTTCAATTATTACCAACAAGTAGGGCAGTGGTCAGGAATCAGGAATCAGGAAACATTTATTACCAAATATGCCAAACATACAAGGAATTTGTCTTGGCGGTTGGTGCGCGACAGTAGAGAGACAAGACAGCAGTGCACAAGTAATAAAATAAAGTAAAATGAAATGCTGATGCAATGGGTTAGTATGAATAAATTAGGGTGTGTTTCTAATAAAGAGACCCACTACTCTGATTCTGACAATAACTACACACTAACTTGTCCCGTCCTGTACAGACGGCTACCAGCGCCGACTGTCTCAACAAATTACTGCAACCGATGCTGTAGCTGGAGAAACGGCACAAAGAGCTGAGTGGCTTTCATGCTATGCTAGGCTAACCACATCCTTACTACTGTTCTGTACTTAACACACACACACAAAAGATTCAAGATACAAAAGAAGATTAGCTTGAAAAACAGCAAACGAACTGTTGTATTTTGTAGTACAATTACCACAGAAATGATCAATGTGACACATGAAGCAGTTAAGCATGTCTGAAGGTATGTTGGGTTCCATCCATCCATCGTCAAACCGCTTATCCTGCACGCAGCGTCACGGGGGGGCTGAGTCCATCCCAGCCAACTTAGACAGGCGATAGACAGGTTCACCCTGGACGGGTCACCAGCCAATCACAGGGCTGCACAGAGACACACAACCACACACCTACAGGCCATTCAGAGTCCCCAATCAACCTGATCCCCAGAGCAGGTCTCTGGACTGTGGGTTCCTCCCGGAGAACCCGGAGAGAACCACGCAGACACGGGGAGAACATGCAGACTGCACACAGAAAGTGGAACCCAGGACCTTCTTGCTGTGAGGCCACAGTGCTGACCACCACGCCACCGCGCTGCCTGGGTTGTATCCACAGGGTTTAATATATATTTTAGCGTTAAGTCCTGTACGGGTATCTGATTCTGTGCAGTTCCCTGATGCTGACAGCGGGGAGTGGTTTGGCTATTTGACTCAAGAAGGGAAACCGGCCCTGGATCTGAAGGGAGGCCCCTTTAAAGGTAAGAACACATTGACATTGATCAGACTTCACATGGCCAGACCACCGCCTATAGTTTTACTGGTCTGGCCCACTTGAGATCAAAGTGTGGCCCCTTCCCTAAAATGAGTTTGAGACCCCTGCACTAAAGGCTTCATACTGTGCAGCTGGCAACACATCCTGCTGGGGGAACCGTCCCCTCTCATGACCTCTGTGATGCTGCGAACGGGGAGCCGTCGGGTCCCTGAAGGACTACCCGGGTCCGCTTCCTGCTCCGTCTGCTCAGTGAGATAACAGTGTTTCTCTCCTCTCCAGGGTTCTTCCATGTGCCTCGCTGCCTGTACATGTGCGAGCTTATGCTGGATGATCTTCTGGCAAACCGGGACTGAGCGTTCTGACGTCTACGCTGCGATGATGATTCTGCTTACTAATCAATAACCAGTTTTATAAAGGAAATTGCAATCCGTTTTGAATAATTTAAGAAATGTTTCGTGCTGGGACCACACGTGCCCGACATCTTGCTTTCAAGTGCCTGACAAGATCTTTTACCATTCAGTTTCTAGTTTTAATGTTCTTGTTGTCTTAGAACTCAGTCACAACATTCAGGGGACATCAATTCAGGATTTGTCCTTCGTCTCCTGCGGAGCTGACAAGGGACCCAAGAAGAACTTACAAAGCCGTCACACGAAGAAGTGTCCGTCTCTCCCTCATCAGACATGCAACACTTTAAAGACAACACCTGTATTGTATTTTATTTACCTTGGCATTGATCTTTACACCCTTTTCATTCGTGTTCACACAGCTAATGTAGCATACCAATGGCATCATAATGTGACCTAATAAATGGGATCATAGCAAAGCTTTCAGGGGGCAGTTATTTGTTCACATGGGGGCAGGCAGGAAGCTTTTTTCCTTTAAAAATGCTATAACTTAAAAAAAAGAATCCTTTTCTATTTACTCTCGTTATCTTTGACTTAAATGTGACAAATATGCAAAAAATGAGACACCAGCAAGTGAATGGACTGTACTTTTCTAGTCTTTAACACTACATGACATCATTCACACCCTGATGACAGGAGAACCACACACAGTGACACCTGTCCATCAGTCACTAACATCCACACACTGTAGTCGCAGCTACAGGAGCATGTTGGGCAGCCTAGTTTATGCTTCTGCGTTTTTAGAGACACGCAAGGACACAGACTTGCGTGTCCCTTGCGTGTCCCTTGCGTGTCTTTTCACGCCTCCTTGTGTGCGTCGACCCATTTTTCTAGAATAGCGTCTAAAGCGACACGGCCTCCTGCAGCACCAGGCTGTGATTGGTCTGCTGACTACGTCCTTTACGGAGTCTCACGTCTCCGTTTTCACAGCACAATACGGCCGTTATTAAAAGGAAGAATGTTGACGAGAGAACGGATCAGATTGAAGAGCTTTTAAATATGAGCGCTTGTACAAGCCGTCATTGGCGGACTATGAGGACGCCGGACGGCCTCTGATTCATGGAGGCAGATCTCCACCAACGAGGGAACAAAGTCGTGGAGGAAAATACGGGACAAATGTGTCCTTGATGAAAAGCAGCAGTGTGGATGCACGGGGCAATAAAGTCTATGATCAATAAATAAAGCAACCAGCGACTTCCACACACAAAGACGAGACTCTCCAGGTCGTCTTCAACAAAACACGTGACTCCACCTGTTGTTCTGGAGGTGAATCGCTCTGCAACACACGCAGGACTTTACAACCAGGAAGTGAAACCAGTGCGTCGACACGACGGTGCGTACAGACGCAGACGCATATGTGCCAGCCAGTGTCTGGACCAAGGACACGTCAGCTGTGCCTCGAAGTCGCTAGGCTGCATCCTTGTGGCCTGCAGCCTTCAGCAGCCTTCGTAGACCTGGTCTGGTCCTCCAACAAGCGCACAGGCTGAACCAGACGGTCTCTGAAATGGGACGGTCTGGCCTACTGGGGGACTTCCTGCTTGCGTCATCAGCGTTACCGCTGCTGCTCCTGTTGCCTAGCAACCTGCTGCGCTTGACAGTAACACATTACAAAGGACAGAAAAATAAGATAATCTTATTTCATTTCATTTAGGAAGAAAGGCTTCTCCTCCGGAGCGTCATATATTTCAGGCTGAGAGAGGAACTTGAAGAACACAACTAAATGTAAAGTTAGTTTATAATCACACAACAAAAGGAGCAAAGCGAGTCCAGTTTCTGTGTATTTATTCTGTAACGTTACTGACTTAGAAAGTGAGAGATATTCGAGGGAATTCTATTACTTATTACAACCATGACTCTTCCTCGTTGTCCGATCACCCGCCTCCGTCCTGAATAAATTAAATCCTCGTCGGATATGTTGGGCCGCAAAGGACAGATCAGATGTGTCCTCCAAAAGTTGGAGCGGACAGATTGGGACAGCTTTACCACCATCACTAAGAGCACTATATATATATATGTATTAAACCATATAAACTATACATATTATATAGCATATATAATCATAGCTAAACGAAAAAAATGCATTAAATAGGACGTGTAACAAAACCGGAAGCTCGATGTAACGGAAGCGGAAGTAACGGAAAGCGAAAAGGAAAACGTCTAATAATAAATGCGAGTTAAACGGTGTTTAGACCGACCGACTATCCCACCATAGCAGACGGTCTCTCGGCACAACTAAGGCGGGTCGAACACCGTGTTTCTGCCGTTAGTCGTCGCCAACTCTGCGGGCGTTGGAGAACCCAACGGGAGCCCGTCCACCGGGTCCACCGGGTCCTCCGGGTCCTCCGGGTCCTCCGGGTCCTCCGGGCAGCCATGTATGGCGGAACGAAGGGGAAGGACCCGCTCCACAGGTACGCTGCACGAGCTCTCTGGTTCCTGTCCTTCCGTGTGCGCGGGACGTCTCCCTCCCGCACCTTTCTGTCCCGCGGCGACACGCGGGCTCACGCTGAATCCACCGGCCGCGTTTGGAGCCGCTGAAGGCTCATAATGCGCGACTACTCCATTAGTCGGTGACCGGAGACCTGCAAAGGTGTTGCACGTTGCATCATAATACAATAGTGTGAAGCGGTGCAGGTAGTTAGTGTGTTAGTGGAGGTAGAGTGTGAAGAGGTGTGTCCTCAGTCTGAAGATGTGAAGGCTCTCTGTGGTCCTGATGTCTTCAGAGACCTCCTTCCACCATTTAGGAGCAGGACAGCAAAGAGTGGAGATCTAGTCGAGTGTTTTGCTCTCAGTGAGGAGGAACAAGCAGTTTGGCAAGTTTAACATGTTCCACCTCCAAGTTTGTGTTTAAAATACAATTTCTTGTATCTTTCATTTAATGTACTTTCTTAAATTAACATCCTACGAGGCCCCGACCGCGTCCTGAGGAGCCGACGGAAGGGGACGGCCACCTATAATCCTTATGTTTACATTTCTGCAGACTTTACTTGGGCGGATTGCCAACAAATCCTAGCTGTGTGACATTTAAATCTTGAGTTTCTAGAGGAAAACCTAAAGGCATTAGAACAAGTAAACAAAGAGGGTGGCCTGTCAACCTGTCATGGTAGATTTACATCTAAACATTAACATAAGGCATTTAAAATGGTACATAAATAGACACAAAAGCATTGACTGAATTCGGCAGTAGAGTACCGTCATGTCCAGACTGTAGAGCGCACCTGAATATGAGCTGCACCACCTACATTTACAAAGAAAAAAAATGTTTACATATTAAAGATCTAGACTTATATTGTCTGTAAAAGCTGTCTTTTGAAAACCGATCAAATCTGTTGCTGAGGACAAAACCGAATCGTTCTGTTCTTAACACGTTCCTGTGTTTTGTCTCTCAGTGGGACCGGTGTCTTCTACCAGGCAATACCTGCCGTCGGGGCCGATGGCAGAAACATCATGAAACTGATTCCTGTACAAATGGTCAATGGACACGTTTTCAAATCTCAAATAAGCCCCCTCAAAACCGATGCTACACAACCAAAAGCGTTATCGTGGAATATCGCCTCAGCACCAGTTGTCTTAGTGAAAAAGACTTCTTCAGTTTCTTCTGCAACAGAGCGGATCGTCAGCGAACAGGTTTCACTCGTGGGTTCGTCCCCTTATGAAGTCGGTTTGGATCCTGGTAATTCACCCAACAAGCATCCACGACAGCAACTACAACAGAGTGTCAAAACGTTGGCAGTTGTTCCTTCAAAGGCTTCACCTGCACACAGTGGAAACTCCGTAGGACCTCCAAGTCAGCTCCCAGTCCCAGTGCATTCTCCAGCAGCCCCCCGAAGCCGGGGCACTGAGGTTCTCCCTACAGTCCCAGCATCAACACTGCCTGCAGGTATCTGGAAACAGACATTCACTTCGTCAGCCAGCTGCTGTCCAGGTTCACACTTACCCTCGTCACCAACCACAAGTACGGATGGAGGCGTTACTCCACAAAGGGATTCTGCACTCAATGCGCTCAAGTTGCTTTGCAAAATAACAAATACGACATCATGCGCACCACCATCAAAAGGATCAAAATCACATTTCAATTTAATTCCAAAGGTTCCACAAAGCCCCAACAGCCCTAAAAAGTGGTCCGTTGAAGATAACAGCCCAACAGCTCCAACCCTTAATCCTTTTTATTCGTCTGTTACTTCAAAGATTTTGCGAGTTCTCGCAGAGAGAGGAAATGCTGGGAAGCCCTGTGAAATTCTTCCAAAACCAGGTCCAACTCTTGATTCTACAAATCCCTCCTTTGCCTCAGAGATTCTTCGAGAAAGAGAAAAGGCCAGAAAGGACTCTGAAGTCATCACTAAATCTATTACTGAGTCAGGTCCGGGGAACAGTGGAGAAGAAAAGGCCAACGTCATAGACCCGTGCAACAGGAAGCAACCACCACAACAGAGTGTACATTTAATGGCCGTAACACCCTTAGCTAACGGGGGAAATACTGGACCTCTGAATGATCTTCATGTCGCTCTGACAGCTCCAACACCCCCCAGAGGACAGTGGCCTCTCTCTACCCCTAAGGCACAATTGTGGGCACTCCCAGCATCTGAACGGCGTGCAGCTATAAAGAAACCGACTTTTACTCCGTCAGCCACCTCCTGTCCAAGCTCAGCATGTGCGGTCTCCATGCCACTTATCGCAAGTGTCAATCAAGGTGCTCCAAGGGATTCTGCACTTGATACGTCTAAGTGGCTGTGCAAGACCGCAAATAAAACATCAACCGGTTCAGAACCAAATTTAAAATTAGTTCCAACGGTTCCACAAAGCCCCAACAGCCCTATACAGTGGTCAGTTGAAGAAGGCAACTCGACAGCTCCAACTCTTGATCCTTTTGATTCTTCTGTGGCGTCAGAGATTCCTCCAGTGGCTGCCGAGAGAGAGAACGCTGGGAAGCTCTGTGAGGTCGTTGGGAACTGGGTCTGCGGGTCGAGTCAGGGCAAAAACGGACAAAGACAGGAGAACCCTTTGGTATTGTGTGATGGAAAGCTTTTTTTTTGGGCCAAAAATCACATGCTGCCACATAAAAATGGAAAAATGGATCCAACCACAGTAGCAGGAAAAAGTTACGAATCAGACAAAGCCATTGTAGCTCCAACCCAACAGTCAGTTCCACCTGTGGAGAAGCCGGGCCATGGAGTCCTCCACCCAGATCCGTGGCGCCAAGTGATTGACCTTTGTGACGACGACGACGCTGCTCCGAACGACTCGTTTCAACAAGCAGCTTCAGTTTGTGTGCCAGCAGTCACTGTTGTGGATGAAGACAATGTTATATTTGTATCCTACACTCCACCCAACTCTGACTCTCAAGATTTGAGACGAAAATTACAAATGGCTCAAATAGAGGAACCGGACCAGACGGCCACAAGCAATGTAACCGAACAAGAGCGCATGCACGGTACGCCCGGCGCTCTCAGAGAGGAGGAACTTGGCCACAGCACGTCGGTCAACGACAGCCAGCAGCCCACCTCAGCCCAACAGATGGAGCATGTTAACCCCAGCAACGAGGGAACCCGCTCCAGGACGGACCGAGACCCCCACATCATTGAGGTGATGCCCATTCTGTTGCATTATCATATAGGACAAAAATGTTTTTGATGGAAAAAAATATATATTTTGTAGCAATTCTGTGGCAACAAGCGTTTTAAACCTGGTTAATAATACGAGTTCAGAACCAGCGTCCTAGGATCCCGATTGTTATGGTTACTTCAGCCAAATGATAGAAAAACATACCCTGTGTATGTTGAACTGACTTGACCCAGAGGTCACGCTGTATGTTTATAGGCTTGTATCAGTCTCATGACCTCACATTGGGTTAAGAGGCAGCTGGTGTTTTTTTTGTTTTTCCCTCATACATTTACCCACATGGACGCTTTACCAAATTCACCAACTGGTGCTGCGCAACGATTTTAATCGCAATTAATTAATTCAAAAGTAGTCTAAATCACGCACTTTTATTTCCGCAAACACTTTAAATAAGGTACTGTTTAACCGCAGTATTCCCCATAACACCTAAAATATTTCTATTTCTATGAATGGAATCCATTAACGATGCCCTGGCAGCAGGGGTGTTCTAGAAGAAACTTGTTTTGTTATAACAGGCACCTTCCAAGTGACAGCTAGTTAACAATGATCAGTGTCTTCCCTGCCATTATAGTGCAGGGCGCCCCCGTCAAACGCTTGACTTTTATTATTCATGAAGCCCCAGATCACAGCAGAAGTCGTTTACGGTTCCCTTTACTACAGAACATGTTTATACCTTGTTACATGACGCCATATTTCTGTCTCTATGGCCCGGTGCTCTGTTCCACCCGGATGAGCACACTCCTAGTGGACATTCTGTAGTGCCTTTAACATTCCAAACGGGTACTAAGCCAGCGAGGGACACGCGTGTTCTAGGCTATGAAACAGTTCATCGTCCAATGTGCCTTATCTACATCGCTCAAAGAAGGTAAAGGAACACTCAAGATCTCAATGTGAATTTAATGTCTGAGGAGTGAAAGGATGCCACATCTTTTGATGGAAATAAAAGTTTCAGCCTACACGGGGCTTAATTTAACACCTCAAATCAATGGGAAGAATGATGTTGCAGGGAAGTCCATTCAGCCCGTCATCCTCCAGGTACTGCCTGCATACTCTTACCCCATAAGGCTTGGCATTGTGGTGCATCAGGAGTGTTAAAGGCCTTCAGTCAACTTCTGTTGAGCTACAGATGCAGGGTTCCTGCGGGTCCTTAAAAAGTCTTCAATTAAAATTTGGGTAATTAAGGTCTTAAATTGTCTTAAATTTCACATAAAGTTGCTGTAGGTATTAATTTTTTTGCCGGTGCGCTTAATGCCGATGAGAAAGCACAGTGGCGCATCGTAAAACATCTAATATATTCATCTAGTATTGTGCTAAATGCGTCTCCGCAATAGAATATCTGTTTACGGTACGTCGGCTACAGACGCTGACGTCAGGCTGCGTGTCGCAAATTTAACGACAAGTGGATGGAAGAGGACGCGTTTAGGAGGCGGTCGGCGCCGGTTGAAAACAACAATGAGGCGATGTGTAAACTCTGCAAAAAGACCTTTTCAGACCGTGGGGCTCAAAGCCGTCGAGTCGCACATGAAAGGAGGAAAGCACCAGCGATACGTTGCAGCAGCTAGCCATAGCCATAGCCGTAGCCATAGCGGGGCCAGGTTAATCCCTGCAAGTTCACACGCCACCTCTCAGTCGGCTGTAACAGGTTTCATTTCAACACCAGACACCCAAAAGGCAGAGGTACTGTGACGAGGCACAATTCATTTAAATCTAATGGTGACATACGTGGCGTCTTTGCTGCCATGTTCCCGATTCACAGCTTGCAAAGTCATTCACCTGTGGTGAAAAGAAAACGGCATATGTCGCCAAATATGGCATCGCCTCATTCATCAAAAAGCAGCTATCGCGCAGCGTTAGTGAGAAACCATATGTTGTCATGTTTGACACACGTATGAATAAAAGGACAAAGAGCAAACAAATGGACCTTCATTTGCGATTCTGGACGACTGATGATGAGACTGGCACACCCCACGTCATCTCCCGCTACTAGGGGTCGGAGTTCATGGGTCGCTCCAGAGCTGAGGACATGTTGGGTCATTTCAATGTAAGTAACGTTACCATTGTGTTTGCTGTAAAATTGAGTAACCTTAGTGCGGTTTAAAGCTCGTATGCTACCGGTGCAAAATTCACCATTGCATTTATAGGCCACACGCATATAATTATATAATGATTAACGTTAATTATCGCGTGTGTTTGTGTATGTTTGCATTTTATTGTTTAGGTGTAAATATGTGAATACATATTCGTGTGTGTGTGTCAGGGGTTTTGATGGATGTTTTTGATCTCTCTGCTATATAAGCACAACCATTATTATTATTATTATATAATGTGGATTACTTGGCACATTAAATTGATCTTTTTTTTTTTTTTCCCAATGTGAAAGGTAGAAAGGAGCTGAATCTGAACAATATGCTATATCTCTGTCAATGGACCCGCTGTTAACTGTAAGTTTGTTGAACTCTTGCAAGAGGAACACAGAGAGCAGTGTGGTGGAGCCCAACTACAAATAATTGGGAGTTGTGGCCTTCACACGATGCACAACTCGTTCAAGAACGGTTTTGCGGTGTGGCAAGTTGAGAAAGTCCTGAAAGCCCTGCACTACCTGTTTCATTGTGCTCCTGCAAGGAGAGAAGACTTTGTTAGGGACCAAGTGTGATACATTTCCTTTGCCATGTTGTGGACATCAATGGCTGGAAAACCTTCCAGCAGTGCAGAGAGCCATTGAAATGTGGCCATATATTGTCACCTATGTGGATCAGGTCAAAGCCAAGAAGCTCCCCAATCCAAGGTCATCGTCATGTGACACCATCACAGAAGCCCGGATGATCCTTTAATCTTGGCAAAGTTGCACTTCTTCATGAGTGTCTCAAGAAGTTTTCAGCCATTTCCCACCAAGTACCAGACAGATGTCCCGATGATTCCCTTCCTCGGCAGGGATTGAGGATCTAATCAGGGTAGGCCTAATGACTACTAAGTATATTAATGGTTTAATCATTTAAGCACCGTCATTTACAGAGGATATGAACAATAAAACACAGTTTTCAGCATGATTATGTTTGTAGAAAGTATTGTAAATACTGTAATACTTTTTCCAATTTTGATTAATCATAATTATTATGCTTGTGCTATTCTATTTTCAGACGCTTCATAAAGCGAGACGTCCAGGTTGATGTTGCCCCAGTAAAGCTGGTCAAGTTTGATGTGACAGACCAAAAGCTTTGGGTCAGTCCAAAGCAAGTGGGCATTGGCATGGGAGCCACAGCTGCCCTCAAGGTAATATTTATCCTAGATTACTTTATCAATGTGCTATAGGAGCTGCAAAGTCACTTGACTAATGAAGTATTTATGTTGAAAAAGATCAGATTAATTGTTTTGACATCAAGCAGTTGACATATTAACTGGATCTGTCAAATGTTGTGTAGTGTAAGTTACACATAGGGAGAATTTATTTGATGTTTCATGTGATGGGTCTTTTGTGCTTTTGTCAGGCAGTCAGAGTGGTGGAAGTGAGCGTGATGTGTTACTGTTCATGCGAGACAGCCAGAGTGCTCGTTCAAAAATGTGTCCGAACATTCTATTGAAGTGCCCCCTGAAGTACCCCTCTGTCCGAAATATGATGTGCCTGGACCCCCAAAAGATGCAAAGAACCAGACATGTGCCTGCAAAAAATGAAGGCCCTCGTCGTAAAATTTGTGCAGGATAAGAAGCTGTCAGGAGTCACAGCGGGTAACATCTGTAGACGTATCAGAAATGTGAACAATAAGCCTAGTGTTTATCAAAGCGAGTCTTATTTTACATATAAAGTTATACTAGCCTATTATTTTGCAATTTTTTTTTGTATTTTCTTTTATTGAAAATACGGCCTAGTATGAGTTATAATAAATGTCTGTAGGCCTAATATATGTTCTTAGACATAATAATTGAAATATAGTTGGAAATATGAGAAACATTTTCCAGAGTATAGTAAAAATAAATCTCTTGTGATTTCCACAAAATATAATTTTAACTAGAAAATGATGTGCTTGTCTTTATCTAAATGCAGGTGATACGATTGCCCAACAATTTCAGAAGTTGCTCTTCAGTGAGGCCAGAGGAGAGGAATTCATGGCCTTCAGTGCATTGGATGGAAAATCGCGAGTTGACAGCTTCCTGCATACGGCCATGAATGGATATGCAGAACTTGCAGAACTTGCTGCTGCTTCTGTCCCATGGACAAGCTACTGTGGAGCGTGGGTTCTCCATTAACAAGGAGGTGGAGATGTGCAATATGAACGAAGACACTATAGTCTCACAGAGACTAATCTGCGACTATGTGAGGATGTGTGGTGGAGTGGTCAAAGTGCCATTGACTAAAGAGCTGCTAAATGAGGTTGCATCTGCACGCAACCGGTACAGGATCTTCTTGGAAGATGAGAGGAAGAAAAAAGAAAAGACAAAACAGACGAACAAAGAGAAAAGGGGTTGAAGACGAGCTTGAAGAGCTACGCAAGAAAAGAAGAACAATCAACTGTGTGTGAAACTCTAGAAAAGGACGCAGAGAAGGCTGAGAATACAGCAGGGACCAAGATGGCAGAACTTAGACCTTTCTATTCATTGGTTTCTCTCATGAAGAGTCATGTGATAACATTTGTGTTTTCAAGCAGTTACTATTTTCATTATTCAATATGGTTCCTTCATGCAATGCGTTGTGTTGTTTAGTGTGTTATGTTGGCTCTGTTCTGCATCACAAAGGAATCACTTTGATTGTTACATCTATATTGGCCAAACAGTGTTGGAAGGGTTATTGTCAGTTATTATACTGTCTCCTAATTTGAGAAAAAGTTTTGATTTCCATTGTAGGAGGCAATAAATTGCGTATTCCAAAGAAATTGTGACATTTTTGGGTCTTACATTATATTGGTTGAGGTCTTAAAAAGCATTAAATTTTACTTTTGAAATGGTGCAAGAACCCTGCGATGTGTATGTACCTCCAGAATAACCCGGATGACGCGCATTGATGAGTCTTCTCTGCACGTTGTTATTTTGCAATGTTGTGTGGGAAACATTAGATCGAGTGCACGGGTACGTAGTAGAAGTAGTAGTACTTTTTCCTAGTAGAGTCACTACTAGAAGTAGTATTTTAGTACTACTACTAGGAGTCATTTTAATAGTAGTAGAAATACTACTAGAAGTAGTGATAGTAATAGTATCATTTGTAGTAGTACTGCTAGTTGTAGTAGTGATAGTATAATTTGTAGTAGTAGTACTAGTTGTGGTAGTAAAATGAGCATGAGGCAGTGCCACAAAGGCAATCAATGATAGCCTAGCTAGCTATCATTTTCACTGGCTGTTTGAGCCACTTGTCAGCCGTTTGGTACTGTTATTAATTGTGCAGTGCTAGCTAGCGCCATGTTAGCGCTATGCTAGCTAGCGCCGTGTGTCTGTCAGACTAGTAGGGGAGGGAGAGTGAGTGCTGGTACGAGGCTGTGTGGTCGTCATGGAGACATGTAAATGGATTTTACCGAGAAACCACACCTCAAACAAGTTGTCATAACTGCAAAACTATAGTACCTATCCAAAAAATAAGTTTCTTTGAGAGACCCAAGACTCTACCGAACGTAACCATTTGGTCTTTATGTCTGTCCGGTAATAAATACGGCTCCTGTGGCATTTTACAAAACGTGTACCTTCTGGATCTTTTGAGAAATATGTCCACAGATTTGTATTGGAGCCTATGGGGCTTTTGGCAGAGGTTGTGTGACTGTTGGTCTCCTGAGGCCAAAGAACTCTGGGATTCCATAGCCACATTAATCCAATCAGCACAACCGTGCCATCATCCAACCTAAAAATGAAGCCTCAAAAGTGTATTCCTGGCTGTCAGGACAGAAGTGCCATGTTTTTTGAACCAGAGAGATCAAGAGGGAGAAACTTGAATTTGGCTCCACATGCAAAACCAGTCCTGTTTTGGGGGTTGTCTCATTGTTGCCCCGCTAGTGCACCTGTTATCAGACGTGCAATTCCTTTAATTTTTTTCCAAGCAGTTTGTTTTCGATCCATTGATCCCATTCATTACAGTTTCCTTGTCGCCTTCATTACTATTATTTCATATCGGTCTGTGCCAGTTCAGGTCAAGACAAAAAACGATTGGCTTCCTGTCCCCACACACACACACACACACACACACACACACACACACACACACACACACACACACACACACACACACACACACACACACACACACACACACACACACCTGTTTCCCATCACCATGCACTCACCAATATCCCCTCGCGCATCAATGCTCCCCCTTGTGATCAATGTCATTACTACCTATGTTGATTTGGTGTTTCCCTCAAACAGACAAACTGCATTCTGGTCCAACAGCCTCTTATTATTGGAATTTTGTTACAATTTAAATTTGATTAACAACAAACTAACTTTTGGTTTATTCTAATGTACAGGTGTATTTTTATTTAACTACAAGATGGTGCTATCTGTAGAGCACACAGCTGGCAAGAAGATGCAACTGATATACAATGATCGCATTATTACCAATGATGTGATTTTCGGAAAACTGCTTGAAATATATGAAATTGGTTTCCAACTTTCTTGCTTGGTCCCTTTTGACGACACGTGCAAACTTTGGACTTTGGAATCCTCAATAGTGCTAGATTTCAATGCACATATTTACTTTTCTTTACTGTGAACAATTACCTGCAAAACCTAAGCCAATGCAATCAGCCACTTCTGTACTCTGTTTAATGCTTTAAGCAAATGTAGGATTCATTTTGATTAACAAAAAATAAAGCATTTTAACGCTATTGTCAACGTTGGTATTCATCTCAGAGCCCCGCTGTGGCAGTACTGCAACTGTATAGTCTTGTATGTGGTGCTTGTATTTAAACGCGATTTAATTCTCCTCGCAGAGCTCTACGACTGTGGACATCTTGACTGTACCAGAATCCTGTCGAAAGACCGATGATCTGCTGAGACGAATTTCTGGATAACCGCCGATGTGAGAATTTGTCTCCAGAGATAGACGAAGCCTCAGCGCGTCTCTTCCTGCGGAACCTCCAACGAGTGAGTGCATCCGGTTAGTGCAGGATCATAAAGACACAACAAGCAGGCTTAAAGAAAGAGAACTGTTATTGCAGCACCTTTACAGCCAACGAGGAACTGAAAGCGGCAATGGTCTCCTCAACGTACTACCCAAACCGGACTTATCCAAAGGTTCATCCACTGCGAGTCCTCACACGGATGCTGGTCCCCCAGAATGTTCACATGTTAAAGTGAACACCAACCCTTCGCCTGAGGGAACGTGTGCTGGCGTAGAATTGAAACCAATGATTGGCTACGTGGAGCCCATAGATGAGGATTTCCTCAGCGCCGATGAGAATGACTTCTCCTACCCACTGGACACAGCTGGCCACCCTCAGACCTGTGCGGATCTGAACGCTGACACAAGGAGACTGGGAAGGAAAAGGAAGCGGCCAACGTGTCCATGTTGCATCGCCGGCACTCAAGATCCCACAGCGAGGTCCAGTGCAAAGTCGGAGGAGCCCGAGAAGTGGGCGGGGATGACGGAGAAGACTGGTAAGAAAGTGGGAAGAGCCAAGGCCTTGGCCAAAGACTTGAAAACATCCAGAGGCGTCACCTGTCTCACAGTCAAGAACAAGCACAGCTGCAGGCCGCCGGAGGAGGCAGCTGGGGAGAGGTTAACCTCGACGCCCACGGACTCCGATGAAGTCCAACTGCACGAGCAGATCACAAGACTCAGGGAGCTTCTGCAAGAGAAAGAGGCGGCTTTAGAGCTCATGAGAACCAACATTTCAAACCCTAACAAAGTGCTGCGGAAGTATCCGTCCTCCAATCCACCCTCACTTTGAAGGTCATGATAGCCCCCCCCTCCCTCAAAGGCTCGTCCCTCATCCGTCTGCTTCAGTGACCATTGAGACATTGTGGAAATGCTGCCAACTAAACACTGTGGATTAATAGTTAGTTTTAGAGCTTTTCTATTTGATCTTTATTGAAAACATTTTCTCTGAAATAAAATAACTTGTCAAATATGTTTATGAATACTAATACAATATTTATATTTCATTAAATAAATCAAGTTGTCAAAGTGGTTTACGTAAAGGCTTTGTGGTCTGTAAACAGCAAAGTTGACTCCAAAGAGTCTTTGGATGGAGCTGTATCATGACTCGGTGTGACTTGGCCAGCGATGTTGTTCAGCAGGTCTGTCTTGTGGTCCAACCTTTACTCTAAAGCATCTGAACCATTAGTCTCCCATAGTGCTGTTGTGGAAAGCATCTTAAAGGTCTGCTTTCACCATTTCCTTTAAAACCGTGAATACTTTGTCTTGCTCAGTACCAGGGTACTAATTTAATTCAGGGAATAGTTCTTTAAAATGAAGAGAAAGTAACATTTTGCGTTGTGGTAAATTGAAATGTGAGATGACTCCTGATATTAAGAGCAGTTTTTCCAAACTGGAGGTATGACGATATGAATCTTAGGCTGCTATGTACAGACAAGAATGCATCTTGAGAAACGCAAAACCTAGAATGCCAAGTACTGACATGTCCATTCCCCCAGAGACGGGAGGACGAAAGACAGTCGTTCTGCAGCTGACTTAATGATGTCAGCTGATCTTGCTAATTCATTTATTACAGTTCTTGACTGTTACCTATTTATACCAGTTAAGGAGCCGGCCTTTGCCGTCGCCCTGGGCTGGGTCCTTCAGCGACCGCATCGGCTGACCCAAGTCGTCTCTGAAATAGGACGGTCTGGCCTTTGGGGGGGGGACTTCCTGCTTGCATCATCAGCTTTTCCTCCACCTGCTACACTTGACAGTGAAAGGCTTAAAACACAAAAAAGTAGGCCAGAGATGGTAATCTAATTTAGGAATATGTTCTTCACCTCTGGAGCATGATAGGTTTTGGGCTGAGAGAAGAACATTTTCCAGTAATTTAAATAAAATTCAAATTCAGCCATGTGCTTTTAGCTAATAGTAATATTTTAATCTTAAGGCAGAAGAGATTGATCAATACAGTCAAACATCAAAGCATCCGTGTTTCCAATAAGCCTAAAAGGAATAGTTTTTGGATCCAACGCAAAGACCGCAAATGTGGGTAACTCTTAAAGGGTTTGATTATTTACGAGACCTTTTTGTACTTCCAAACAATGCTAAATGTTCATTTCTATCGCTTGTTATGAGATGGATTAACAGAAAAGTGTGGATTTAAGTTGGTCCCAAACATGTTGTACGCTTTTACACAGCGTCTCCAAAACATTAATGTCCTCCTTATGCTATTCATTATCCCCTAATATTGTCCCTCCCGTCTCTCCCTTCTAAACCTAAATGAATCCCAAGGATTTTTAAATAGTCCTTCCTTCTCTTTCAATCCCACATCTTCTCTCCCTTTCTTATCCACTCCTATATACATGATTTCAGATCTTTCTATGTTGACCTTTGCTCCTGATGCTCTGCTGTATACCCCACGGCCCTTATGACCTCTAGGACTCTCATTGTCTTTGCTGTTGTGTCATCAACATACTCGCTCCCCTGGCAAGTCCCCCCCCCCGGATCTCTCTCTTCTGCATGAGTAGTGCAGCTAGCGGTTCCTCTGACAGTGCATATAGCATAGCATAGCATAGCATAGCCAACAGCTTCTAATTTGTCCCTCTTCCCTGCCTTAGTTAGTCTGTCTAACAGGGGCACTAGTGAGTAAAAGTAAACTAAACCATCAGTCCCTGGGCTCTTGTTTCTCACTAACCCTTGTATGGCGTTCTCTATTTCCCCTGTTTCTATACCTCCTCGCACATCTGCTTAGCTTCCTCGCTCAGCTTAGCCTCCATCTTCTCCAACACTTATCAACCTCTTCCTTGCTAAATAGTTCTTTATAAAATCCTGTAATCTTTTCTCCCTCCTTCCCCTCCACCTGTTCAAAATAGTTGTTGTTTTTTTCCTTTTCCAACTCTAGAAAGAATCCTGTACACTTCTCTCCCTCGATCATCTAACTAGCTCTACTTCTAACCATTGTATCTGCTGTAGCTCTATTCCATGTCTGCCCTCAGTTTCTCCTGCCAGCTCCTCCCTTGGTCCCCTTTCCCTCCCCCCCCCCCTGCTGTATCTAATACTTATGGTTCTTTATCTCCCCCCCATGTGCCCCTCATACATACTTCCATTCCTTCTTCTCAATATACATTCTCTTATGCAGGGGTCTCAAACTCCGGCCTGCGGGCCACATCTGGCCCGCCATCGAGGGGGGGGGGACCCCGCTGTTCTTCGGCGGTCGGACCATCGGCCCCCCTCTCAGCGACTGCAATGGTCCGGCCCGCGTTCGGTTGAAGTGGGCTGCATCTCCTGAAACGTGTTGGAGACCCCTGCTTTCCTTGTACTTTTCTTACACCATACACCCCCTCCTCTGCTTTCACACCTTCCCCCGGGTGAATCTCACTACCCCGTGGTCACTGAGAGCAGCTGTTCTGTACTCGGAACCCAATTCTACTTACTAGGCTCTTTGAACTCCGTACCAAGTCCATCCTGCTTTGTTTAAGTACTTCTTTCACCACTTGATGCCTTGAAAAACCCTCTTGGATTGTTTTCCCTCCACACGTCAATTAGGCCATTTGTTTTCATTACTTCCTTCAGCCTCCTTCGTGAGGCGTCTGCCTTAAATTGTACCCTGGCAGATGCATCGAGCCTCCCACACATTAAAGTCCCCCACAATGATGCATTCTGTGCAACATGTTGCCGCCATTCTTTCAAAGAAGTCCTCCCTTTCCTTCACCTCATTTGGTGCATATATGTTCACCAGTTTGTATTCCCTGCCCAGGTGGTCAAAGGATATTCCTATTGTTCTCCCATCCTCATCATCCTCACTTTTCCTCACATTCCCAATTTGTCCTCTTTTAACTGAAATCGCTACTCCTCTTGATGTGGTCCCTCCATTGTTAACGTACGCGTCTCCGATCATCTCCCTCTGCAGTTCCTCCACGCATGCATTATGCCAGTGTGTCTCTTGCAGACATGTAATGTCGGCCTCACAGACCAACACGGCTTTCTGCCTCTTATCCGCACTCCTAAGGCCATTCGCATTCAATGTGACAGTAGAGACAATAGAGCTCATTTCTTTGCGTTTGCCCTCTCCAGTGCTGTCTTTCTTTCTTTTCAACCATCTTTACTTGTATTTCTTCCTCTGGTGAGGGAGGAATGTGCAGTCCTTAACGCAAGCTCGTACCCATGCGTACGCACAAAAACGGGTGAATGAGAACCGTCGGCAAACGCAAGAAACACGCACACTTGTGTAAAACTAGACTGTTGTAAAAGAAATGCCAATACTGCCTCATAAATAACACGAACACCCGTTTGATCTGCAGCGTAAAACAAACTAATACAAATTAACACATTTCAAAAAGAAAAGTGAAATATGTTCTGCAATAATATCGGCATGTTATTAAATTCATCCTCTAAACACAGCTGTTGCTTGTCAGACGGATGGTAATAAAACGCCGTGATGACGTCACAATGCGTGATGGCGCTGATGGCTGATCTTCGCTCTTAGGAGACGTGGCACATGGAAGGATTGGCGCCGTAGTGCAGCGCACCATCGGCCTGTTTAAGGGCCGATGGCGCCGCCTCGACTGCGCCGGAGGAGGTTAACGGGTGTCGGTGGAATCACCAGACTCAGCAGCACGTCTAGCTGCACACGAAAAGGGTACGATTTATTATAACGTACAAAGTAACAAAAAGTGGAAACTGAGGTTCTTCCTCTTTTGAGGGCGCGGTTCAGCAGCATATATAATATATATATATATATATATATATATATATATATATATATATATATATATATATATATATAATGTGTTTTTATGTCAGTAGAGATCCGTCTATTAACTCCGAGTGTGTGTGTATATATATATATATATATCTTAAAAAATATATATAGTCTCTGCGGGAGGCGAGGTGACCCTCAACGCCAAATATAATGCCCCAAACAGACACAGATTAACGAATCATCTGATTCTTTCTTGGGATGGGTTGCAAAAGGACCCGGGTCCCGACCTGAATCTTGTCTCCATTGCACCATCCAACGAGTGAACGCCAGATTTT